CCCGGTTCCCAGCACGTGCTGCTCCCCACGAATAGATTGGAGCCTTGTCCCAAAAAAAAAAAAAAAAAAAAAAAAAGCCACTCTACACGTGGGGGGCACTGCGGAAAACGAAAAAAGAAAAAGACAACATGGTGGACGTAAGATGTGCCCAACGTTCTACTCTTCTGTTGTTCGGGAGAAGAGCAAAGGGCTGCCCACTTCTTGATTGGTAGAATCAGCGCCGCATGAATCTAATGTTCAGAAAAGAAATAGGCTGTCATTCTACACATCTAGAGAAACCTTCAAAACACCTTTTTTTCATTTTTTTTTCGAAAGAGAACAGAGCCTAGGAGAAGTTGGCAAGTACTTAGGGCATTTTGCAAAGTTTGACAGTACCCGGTATATTGCAAAGATGGGGGTCCAACCGACGCCAGGGGTATTTCACAAAATGTTTTTTTTGTCAGAGGGGCATTCCACTCTACCCACATCTTGTAGGGGCATTTTGGCGTATATCTCAACTTATGGGCGTATTTTGCAAATTATCCCTTTTTCTTTTTTTTTCTTAACAAAACCAGTTGCTCAGGTAGGAGAGCATCTGTGGCATACTGCGTAGCCACACTGGCCCTGTAGGACCCGCCCCTGACATTCAGCCTTAAAGCCTAAGACTTAGGAGCTACAGGCCCCGGTCGTTTCAGCCTGAAAACTGAAAAACGAGGGCCTGCAGGCCCTACTCCGTTTCAGCCTATTTCTGGGTCTTTCAGACCCAGAGTTTTTCCAGCCTGAAACGGAGGGCTATTCTTAGGCCCTGGGCTATTCTTAGGCCCTCATTTGTTTCGACCTGCCCTAAGATTCAGGCACGAAAACTGGGTTTCGGAACAGGCTATTTCTGGCCTGTTCCCACGCCAGCTCGAGCAGGAGCTGCAGTTGCAGCCCCTGCCTCCCTGCGGCATTATTGGCATTAGCACGAGCAGGAGCTGCAGCTGCAGCCCCTGCCTCCCTTCGGCATTATTGGCAAGAGCAGCCTCCTGAACTGCTCGCCCGAGTCAGGAGGCTCCCGTGATAGTACATAGGAGCTTCAGGCACTGAACGGGTAGGCAGTTGGAGAGTAGGACGGTAGTCTTCAGATTTTCGGCCGCAGCACTCAGGAGGAGCGCTGCAGTAGTCTTCAGCGCTAGGCAGTAGTAGTAGCGCTAGCTGTAGTCATCAGCGCTGGGCGCCATA